CGTCCCTCCTGCCCTGAGAGACTGTGACAGCTGGCAATCCAGCACAGCACCACAAATGGTTTCATGTGGGCAGAGCTGCTCAGTGCTGAGCAGCAGGTGGCATTCTGCTGGTCTTGCCCTGGCTGGAGTGCCCGCTGCAGGGCTCAGCATGGGCAGGATTAGCTAGTCATGGGATTCACTGCAGCAGCTCTGGTGCTAAGTTGGTACTGGGCTGCTTCAGGCTTACCTATCAAGTGCATCATTACATACTCAACTCTGTGCTGTCTGTTAAGTAGGGGTTGGATGCTTAGTTCATGAACTTAAAGTATGTTTTGAATTAGAATAAATGCATATATTTCTGTTTAAAACCTTTCTCATTTCAGCAGATACGTAATTGAAAGTAAGAAGTTATTTAAACACCGTTAAGATATTTTGGAGCTGAAAGGTGGGATATTTTTTGGAAACACTGCCTACTTTTGTGTTTGCTCCTTGGCAGAGATGTGTAAGTCAGATTTCTTGTACAGCACATTTGCTGAATGACTTTGCTTAAGGCACTGAAACACTCTAACACAAGTCACTGTAGGAGTATAAAGAATGTATTATTTAATTAAATTTGTATTTTTGCTCCATAAAGAGAGCTGTATTTAGGAGCTAGTGTTTTTTCCTGGTGCTTACAACTGGACATGTATAAGCACACACTCAGCCCTAAAAAATTACAGGGGGATGTTGGCAGCCATACTATAATGTAGATAGCTGAGCAGGCATTGGGGTTTCCTCTTTTATCCATTATAACGCCCAGTCTAAATGGTTTAGTATATTGTAAAACTAATTGCAGTTGATAGTTAGGAATAGGAAGAATATGTCAACATAGCATCTGCAAACAATGAAATCAAAGAAGTGACATTTTGGTAGTTTAATCTTTAGTCACTTCTGTTCTTGCTAGGAAAACCTTGATAAGTGGGCTACTTTGGCAGGGCTCAGAAGGTAGGTTATTAAGTAATTGCAAGATGAGCAGGCTATACAAGCCATATAACTCTGAATAATTACCAGAAATAGTGTCAAAAGCCACTTAGCTGTGTGTTTAAAAACAAAACTGAACAAACCTCAACCATTTACTTTCTCATGTACCTACAATATGAAAACCCCCTTACGTCCTCATTTTCCAGGCTTGAGGTCTGTCCTGTGACACAGATTTGGCCTATGTTTGCCTATTACTTGGCACAGGCCTCTTCCTGTTTTGTGTCTAGCTGACTTCCCAGTTTTCCCATCCTGTATTACATTTGAGTTCTTTGTTCTCTTTTAAAGTGTGCTATGGACTTGTTCTCGCTCACGAATGTAAATCTCATAGGAGTGTGGGGAAGGGGGTAGTCACATGCACGCATTCTCTGGCAATGGTCTGCTTAAAAACATCCTGAGCCTGACTTTTCAGCCCCTCAGAAACGGGTCATGGCAATGCTTGTGTCATAAACGAGTGAGCCACTCTCGTTTGAAAACGTAAATTTTATTGAATTGAGCAAGCGGTAGCAGATAAAAAAAACAGCGCTGGGTGCGCCGGGGAGTCCCCGCTCCACGCAAGACGCACACCGGTCCCCTGGGAGGCTGTCCCTTATACCTCTCGATTTTGGCTTCAGCCAATCCTGTTGTCCCTTTTGTCCAGATACTTTGGCTTCAGCCTATCCCGTTATCTCTTTTGCCCAGATATTGACGTGGCTCCTTTCCATTGGTTCCTTTTCGTTGCTGGGGTTTCACCATCGAGAAGTTTCGAGAAGCTTCCAGAAGTTTCGAGGAGTTTTAAGAAGTTTCTCTCATTAGGCTAACCACTCCCTCAACCTCCATTCCTTATATGGTTATAAGCTTTACAACATTCTGCAACAAGACACTGAGTTGAACCACCCAGCCCCCCTTCCTTTTCCTTCTCTAAAAGCATTTATCCTACTTTAATAAAGCATACTTTTCATAATAGTACAATTGACTTTCCCTCTCCCTTCACAAAGAAAAAGATGTTTCACAAACAACAGTTACAAAGAGTTTCTTAAAGTATAACAAGCAACATACCCCTTAAACCTTTTGATGAACAAACCTCACTTATCACACTTGTAAAGCAAAGAAAGCCTCAGGTTTTTTAAAGAGAACTTTTTATGTCTGGTGCTTTTAATGAAGTCTCTTTACCATGTATGTTTCCAGAATTAAGTTCAACAAGAGAATGTGGAAATATATATGGGGACAGGAACTCGGTGTCAGTTCTGCTATTGGAAAAAATATTTGTATCTTCACATCTTTTTTTTTTTTTGCCTCCTAGAGCAGCCCACATGTATGAAGCCACATCATTGCTCTTTTCTCGTATCTTAATATTGAAATTTATTTGTCTATGTGTTCCCAGAAACCCTCTCTCTGGGTTAGAAAGCCAGTGGTGGTCTTGGCATAGCACTTGCATGAAGAGTTCAGATAGTTTTGCTTTTTACTACCGTTCTTTCCAAAACCTGTGTGTTTACACTGTTTTCATTGTCACAGGAACTGTGGGGACTTTTTTCTTTTGTTTATAAACCAAGTCTGATTCCTCCCCCCACTCCCTTGTACTATCATGTTTGTATCAGTTGTCCTTTGAGTCAGCAAAACAGAGCTGCCTGGGAATTCAGAAACATTACTGCTAAATATCTAGTATCACTTTTACTACTTTCTGTCCTTGTCAGTTTTCCACCTCTTATTTACACAGTCTTGAAATGTATTGCAGACCACCATCATTCTTGTTAATACTGCATCTGTTACTGTCCCAACCTGTAGACCTCATTTGTGTCATAATTCAGTCTGTCTTACCTGTATTTGTAATGTTGGCTTCAGATCCAGGCTATTTCAGCCACAGAAACAATAAAGACATAAAACATAACATTTCAGCATCAGAAGGTTTCTTTCACTACTGCACGTAATCAAAAAAAGGCACTTTTAATTTCTCACCCATTTTTATCTATAAATGTTTAAATACTTTCAAATAGAAGTGTATATAAATGGAATGTACGTAAGAAAATAAATAGAAATTTTATATACATAGCTTGCTACTTGGTATCAAGGCAGTTAATCACCTTCTCCAGCCCCTGTTAGAGGTAACCTATAGAATGAAGAGTCAGCAAAGTGGGGATTTAAAACCACTGATCCAAGACATGCAGACATGGTTTTCCGTATCTATAAAGAGCATATTGTGCAGTAGGAGCTTTGTTCTGCTCTACACTGGGGTTTGTTCTATTTACAGTTGTACACAAAGTAATTTCCTCTTCTGTTCCTTCTTCAGAGGCCCTGCACCGCCCTTACGGTTGCGATGTTGAACCCCAGGCACTGAATGAAGCCATCAGATGGAGCTCCAAGGAGAACCTGCTTGGAGCCACTGAGAGCGATCCCAATCTCTTTGTTGCACTTTATGATTTTGTAGCAAGTGGTGACAACACGCTCAGCATCACCAAAGGTAAGGCTGTGAATCACGGAGCAGCTACTAGGTTGAAAACTCAGCAACAGAAAAGAGAAAGCAGAATCCTGCTCCAGACAGGAACAGGAATGAGTATAGTTACAGATTTTTTTCTAAACTGGTGAGTATAAGCAGATGGTCTCTCTCTCACTTGTGTTGGAGAGACACCTGCTGGGCAGTTCTCCTACTGCTGATACAGGTTTGTGTAACGCTGCGGAACAGTCTAGTCCAGCTGCAGTTGTTCCTGTTCTAGTCTCCCCAGATCACTGGCCCTGCGAGACACCTGGTTTAGGGAGGGGCAGAGGGAAACTGTTGCATTCTTGATGGTAACAGAATTCAGTACTTTAAACTGGGGCAAAATCACGAATTAAGAATTGCACAGCAATTTTCTATTTCTGTTCAGTATGTATATGAGAATGTGACCTGCTGCACAACCATTTTAAAGCACGTGCCATTTAAGGCTTCAAGGAGACAAACGTCATCCCTCCAAGAAAAATAGTCCTTCTAGTCTAAAAATGTAGACTACAGGAAGCCTTTAGTGTTCATCACCCACACTGCATTAAATTAGGGAACAGTATCCTAGGTATTCTGCCTGAAACTTTTCTTCATACATACTTTATATACAGCAGTTTATTTATAATACAGCTGCTGCAGATTTTTACTGCTATCTACAGACCCAAGCTTCATCACCTGATGGTGAGTTTCTCCATTAACGAGACCCAATAGGTTACACCGTGCTTATTTTCCTTTTTTCTTTCTGGTCGTAGGTGAGAAGTTGCGAGTCCTGGGTTACAACCAGAATGGTGAATGGAGTGAGGTACGTTCAAAGAACGGTCAGGGCTGGGTACCAAGCAACTACATCACACCAGTGAACAGCCTGGAAAAGCATTCATGGTACCATGGGCCAGTGTCACGCAGTGCAGCGGAGTATCTGTTGAGCAGCCTCATCAATGGCAGCTTCCTGGTTCGTGAAAGTGAGAGCAGCCCAGGGCAGCTATCCATCTCGCTCAGGTACGAAGGACGTGTTTACCACTACAGGATCAATACCACCTCAGATGGAAAGGTAAGGATCTAGGGACAATGCTGTGGGGAGAGGAAATAAGCATATAATTAAGAGGTGGTGCAGAATCTCAAGTTGCAGACTGTTATGGGAGGGGTGTGTGAGAGAAAACAGGTCCACTGTTTGGTATACATGTTCTTTGGTAACTCACCAAACACCACTTTGGAAGAAGTACAGACAGTACTTCTCCTGGCTGAAGGTAGCTAGAGAGCAGACCAGCTGTGGTTTGATATTACAGCTTTCTGTTGGTTCACTTAGAACAAACAGAGCTGTGGTAAGTCAGCATTTTTAACCTTGATCAAATAGCAGTATATTGTGTTGAAAGATGCAGAAACAGGCCTTGTGGCTTGGCTACAGGAATTCGAGTTTCTAGTCCTGTAATGCACAAGGCAGGAGACATCACTGCTCTCAGGTGATAGCTTTTGTCTAGCTGCCTTCTGCAGGTAAAAATCCCACAGATTAATAATTCATTTGCCCAACAAGATGAGAACAAATACTTTAAAATCTGTTTTTCTGAGTTTTATTTTAAACATGTTAGAATGTTTTTACTGTACCTGTTTTCCAGTATTACTGAAAACTTTAAGTAGATTCCTGGTTCTTTCTTAACAGGTATATGTGACAGCAGAGAGCCGTTTCAGCACTCTAGCAGAGCTGGTGCACCATCACTCAACAGTAGCAGATGGACTGGTGACAACTTTGCATTACCCAGCACCCAAGTGCAATAAGCCCACTGTCTATGGAGTGTCCCCCATCCACGACAAGTGGGAGATGGAGCGAACTGATATCACCATGAAGCACAAACTTGGGGGAGGGCAGTATGGTGAGGTGTATGTGGGTGTCTGGAAGAAGTACAACCTAACAGTTGCTGTGAAGACATTAAAGGTGAGTTTTCAGATTGTTATGTTCTGTTCATTTATGGTAAGCGTAAGGAAATTGTAATGTTCTCAAATTATGCCACCTAATTGTGTGAATATCAGAAAAATGGAGTGTGCTGATCTGCAGAAAGCCCATGCTTGAGAGCAGCTTTGCAGTACAAGGTTAGCTTATCAAACTTGCACCAATGCATGTGGTGTAGAAACAGTTTTGAATTTTGGCCCAGCAAGCACCTGCAGGAACTGCATGTCCAAGTTACATTTGTACAGCTGGTTTCCAGGTCCACTTCCCTTGCCTCAGAAGAGTTGTAGAACCTTTAAGAACTCAAAGATGTTGGAAATACCTTGCCTCTGCTCCTTGAAGAATTCATCTTCTCCATTTATCTTTCTTTTCAAACTCTTCTGTTTGTTTCAGCATGAACAACTACAATTCCGTGTACTCCCTAAGGGAGCTTTCAAGCTTAATTTTTATAGCTAGGCAGGGGAACTAAGTGATCCTGAGGGTCTTCCTCTCAGCAGCCATAACTGCTTTTGGTAGCCACAATAGCTACCAAACAAGAAAGCCTAGCACTTTCTGGGTACTGCAGATCTATCACTTGGCCATGCTGCAGGCCAGCCAGGCAGCTTTTCAGGGCTGTTGTATTTTTTTTTTTAGTTAAAAGACAAATCAGCGGAATGGAGACAAGGATGATGCCAGCACTTAACATTCAGCTAGGATACATGGTGTTAAGCAGACCTTGTTCATGAAGGTAATTTTTTCTTTCTTTTGCCTCCATGTTCCATCTAGGAAGATACCATGGAGGTGGAAGAGTTCTTGAAAGAAGCTGCTGTGATGAAGGAGATCAAGCACCCAAATCTGGTGCAGTTGTTAGGTTAGTGAAATACCTTGTTCTTTCTGTTCTTACTTGAATTTCCAGCAGAATGAAATCTGTCTCGTTTAAAAGCAGTGGCAGATTTTCTGTATTTATATAACTTTAAATCAGATCAGGTTATGGGTGGTTTGACAGCTTAATCCTTTAGGTAGTATTGGAGCTAAGACGCTTATTTTAAATAAAACATCAAATATAGTCACTTACATTAGTAGACATAGAAGTTTGCAATGTCAGCCTCCTGTTAGTTTGTATCCTTGGCCTTAGACATGTTCCAGGGGTTAAATCAGATTTCCAGAATTATTTTCCATTACTTATTTTTCTGATAGAACAGAATTATAAGAAAATTAAAAGTGCAAGAAAAAGTTTTACTGGAAGCACAACAAATACTGTTCTTCATACTTTTCAAATAAGAGACATTACTAGAAAAAGCTGCACTGAATAGAGCAAATTTGTCCACAATTAAGCAGAAGACAACTAGATTGCTGTTGCTGTAAGGGCCCCTGTGTATCACCAAATAAGTACATGAGATCAAGGTACTGGAGATGCAAGTCAGATCAAACAGCACATGAATGGAAGAAATCTGCAGGCTTTACAGCTTGGCTGGGCCCTGTTTGTCTCACTGGCAAATGCATGATATGATGATCACTATTAAATAGTCTGCATAGATGTTAATTCTACATGTACAAAGATTCTTAAGGAGACACCCTAAACTTTTATGAGAGTTTAATTGCCTCTGGACTTTCACTACTTTCAGGAGTGAAGCTGTCAAGCCAAGCCTAGGATGAAAGGAGAAATGTGAAGAATGTGAAGGCTTCTAATAATGGCAGCTATTCTGTACCCATTTAAAAAATGGGCATACATGAGGTGTCTCCCCAGCCCTGTCTAATTCCAGGAGTAGAGACAGAAAGATTTCTCATCAGAGATGCATTTTTGCTGTTTCTGATGCACAGCATAATTGTCTTTCACTCCTGTATGTGCATAATGGTAGGAAGAGGCACTCAGCAGTGCTGCAGTGGGAGTTCACAGAGATTTGACATGAGTATCCTGTTGCCCTCCTCCTCCGCTAATACATACTTCATACATAATTGCGATGACTGTAGCAAGTAGTCATCTGAAGAATGTGTGAGAATGCTGCTTTAGGAGCAAGTCCCACCATGCTGATCACTTACCCAGCTAGCACACATGGGACTGCTTCACATTACTCTGTAGCGACATTTCAGTCTCAAAATCCTGCCAGTTGACAGGTACTTATTTCCAGTTGGCCATACATTAGCTTTATGAAGGGAGAGAGGGAAAGGAAAGCAAATCATATGTGTTCAAAATAATTCCTATTTCATTCAGGAGCCCTCCAGAAACAGAACTACTCCTTCATATATATTGTATAGGAATAGCAGTGCTTTCATAGACATGTTTCTCTGGATCTGTAAAGTGGATGGACTGATAAATAGATGGAAGCACTGAATTTAAGTTGGTTCGCATTGATTTGGGTCGTGTAGATGGAAGTCAGGAATAATGGTAAGCTAAGGAAGAAAGGGAAGCTTTATTCACATGCTCTCTCTTCCTCACTACTAGGTGTATGTACCCTGGAGCCACCCTTTTACATTGTGACAGAATACATGCCGTATGGGAACCTGCTAGACTATTTAAGGGAATGCAACCGGGAGGAAGTGAGTGCTGTTGTGCTACTCTACATGGCTACTCAGATCTCCTCTGCTATGGAGTACCTGGAGAAGAAGAACTTCATTCACAGGTGAGTAAAGTCACATTGAGCTGCTAGAGTTTCAGATTGCAGTGATGAACAGGCCACCAGCATGATGGCTCAGGAATTTGTTTTTTGGGGAAGGTTTCTTCCAAAGTTAGGTTTCACACTGGCTTATCCATTGGCTCTTTTGGTTTCAGTACTGTCTTCCAATACCTTCTCCCCATGACTTTTGTAGCAGACTTAAAATGTTATGTCTGACAGCTATTAAAGTTGGTGTTGTCCTATTCTGATGTACCCCCTATATGCAAGACATTGTCAATCCCAAGTCCTATTTTAATCCAGATGGATAAAGCCATGCCATAAAGTTGTTATCAGTGAGCTGCTGATCTCATCCTATTCTCAGGAAACATAAACTTCTTATCGTAACAGCTATCATTACTCCAGTATCATTACTCCAGCAAAGGACTGTGAGTTTTCCCTTTGTACAGGGACCTGGCAGCACGGAACTGTTTAGTTGGAGAAAATCATGTGGTGAAGGTGGCTGACTTTGGCTTAAGTCGACTTATGACTGGAGATACCTACACAGCTCATGCTGGAGCCAAGTTCCCAATCAAATGGACAGCTCCTGAGAGCCTGGCCTATAACACCTTTTCCATCAAATCAGATGTGTGGGGTAAGAAAACTCCAATGTTCTTTTCTTTTTCATTTTGTTTTTACTTACCAGCCTAGACAGTAACTTGCTGTCTGGCCTGGACAGAAACGTGGGAAGGAGGCAGTCATATGCCAGGCCACAATAACATTTTTAGCATATAATGTCTTCACCTAGACTGGCCTGAAATATCTGCACAAGAATGATGTTGCCTCAAACTGCAGTGAAGGGCACAATGTAATGAGCGGCACAAGAGAAGGACAGACTTACGACCAGGAATTCTGTTTTCCTCCTTTTGCAGCCTTTGGGGTGCTGTTATGGGAGATTGCTACCTATGGGATGTCACCATACCCAGGCATTGACCTCTCTCAGGTGTATGATCTGCTGGAAAAGGGCTATCGGATGGAACAACCAGAGGGGTGCCCTCCAAAGGTCTACGAACTGATGAGGGCATGTGAGTATCTTCTTCCAGTTGGGAGGACAAAACCTGGGAGAGGTGGGAGAAATCTTTTGGTAACTCTGAAGTCCTTTTTTCTTTTGTGCCATTTTGTAAGCTAATGCAGAAAAGGGCCCATCACCTGAGACATACCTTGTTACTGACGCAAAATGAGTCTGGTCTCTAGGGAACAAGAATTCACTCCCAAAAACTGTCATCTCTGAGTACAACCAAATACTGCTTTGTGACACACTGTACTGGTATTTTGTCAGTAGGACTCTTACTATGGAATCACCAAATTAGAAGGAAATTTAGTTCTCTGCAAACACAGCACCTGTGGAGGAGACGTGTAGTTGACGAAGTTGCACAAAATGCATCCTCCAAGCATGCCATGAAGAGCTTCCTAATGCTCCATAACAAATTGAAAAGGTACTAATAAACGGCAAAAAATACAGTTTGCTGTAGGAAGAGAGCAACAGAATTAAAGAACATTCCTGGTCTCTTTCAGTCCCACAAGAGCAGGGACTATATTGGGCAAAAGGCTGAAGATCCTAAGGAGCAAACCAGGCCATGCTGTTGGGTCAGGTAGGCAGCTCTGAACAGAGAAGCCCTATCAGTGTGACCTGGGATAAGATTCCTTGGTGCTAACTCAGGCAGTCTCTGTGGCCCTCAGTGTACATGACAAACAAACAGGGCAGAAGAGGCCATTCTACAGCCTGTCTCCAGGGATGCCTGATCCCCCCAGCATGTCAGAGAAAGTCAGGGTGAACTTCAGTTATAAAACAAAGAAGTTGGGTAACGATGAAGGGTATTGCTTTAAGAAACCTTCAGGAAGCTGACAAAAGCCCAAAAGCAGGGAATTTGTATGATATCCATGCAATCCAAAATGGGCAGAATAACAGTCACTTTCCAGACCCTATAGTGGTATCAACAGATAGTCAGCTACTTCCCCTCACGCAGATTTCTAACCACAGAAATTACACTTTTCATCATGATACCATTCTATAACTTTCCAAAATCCATCTTAGATCAATGCACTTTCTTCCTCTTCCCCCCACAAGATACATACGTTCTCCTTTTGGAAGGCTTTGCCTGAATTTCAGTATTAAGAGCATGTGAGCAGAATGTGCCCGGAGCTTTGCACATACAGTTATCTGTGACTGGGGTAGATGTGCGTTCAGTCCAAACAGCCAGGATAGCAAACATGGAATTCTCTTTTGCCCCAAAAATTTAGAAAGAGGGATAGGGAGACCCAAAAAACCAGTGGAGTTGGCAGAGAGCTGGAATTTTAATACTGATTCCTTCCTCTCCAGATTTGGTTAGTTAGGATACTGTGGGGTGACTTACTGCTGCTGTGAATTAATTTCTGTGAATGACTCTAAAGCCTGTTTATTTGTAGGAGATCAGAGTCTGACTACAGTTGAGAAAGCTTGTGTATTTTCTTTCTCCTTGGACAGAATAAAATACCTCCTTCCTGTTTCAGACACTGAGACTTACCCTGCTTTCTCACATTCCAGGCTGGAAGTGGAACCCACCAGACCGACCTTCCTTTGCTGAGACCCACCAGGCTTTTGAAACTATGTTTCATGACTCGAGCATCTCAGAGGGTGAGAGCCCCTGTTGCTTTATTTCTGCAACAGTACTGGAAGTTTCCTTCCAGAGTGCTATGCTTATGGATAGGCCCTTAAGGCTCATCTGCTAGCTGTGGAGGTTGTGGTGAAGCTTCATCCTTTAGTTAATTTCTTAACCATAAGTAGGTAAATACATTCTCTTAGTTGCTGCACAAATCCTGAGTAAACTTTAGACATACAGCAATGCAGGGGACAGTATAATTTCATTTGAACACTACGATGCTAAAGAGTTAATTTAAAAAATAGTCTCCTTTATTAGAGGAAGCTTCTTGTTTCCCAGACTGAAGAGTAAGGAATAATGAGTGATGTTGAGAGAGAGATGTACACATATCACAGTCCCTTGCTGACTATTTAGGTCATGAAATATTATCCTACCAACCTTCATTTTTCAAGTTTGCCTTAATACCTGGTTTTTCTACTTAGCTACTTCTAGGAGCAAATCTGTGCAATCCAACTCTCAAATGTAATCAACTAGAAGTTAAATACTGGTGAGAAGTGTAATACTAGGCAGCAGACAAGCAGAAGTGTCTAAGCATCTTTTAAATTTTTAAATTAAGTATGAAACTGATCCACCCACTTCCCTACCACAGAAAAAAGACACCAGCTCGAATTCTACCAGGGTGGATCTACATCAGGCCCATTAAGTGGCCCACACAAATGCCAACCTGGGTGTGGCCAGGAGGTTGTGGGGGTTTTTTCTGGTGTTTTTTTCAATCACATTACCTTGTGTTGATGCTGGGAAGGAAACGTGCAGTCTTCATTTCTTACGGGGAGGTGCAAGGCTTTGCCTCAAGCAGAGCAGCTTAGATCCAGATCCACAGAGGACACAACTTTTGGGGGATCCCA